CCCCCCGTTTTTCTCTTTGTTTAGATAAACTGATGATGTCTATATTCATGGGGTTGAGAAATGTCTCCTTCTACCTAATCTTAGTAAATAATTTAAAAACCCATTTGATTTGGTGAAAACAGGGTTGTTTTTCATCACTCATGTTTTCACAGAATGGCAATGATCTGAACAGAAAAGAGTAATTTTCTCTTCGCTTCCGGAGGTGTGTGTCGGGGTTGTCCACCCTCTCCAGCATTGTGTTAGGCTTGTTCTTACCACGTCTGTGTTTAAGTGTGTTGGGACAAACAGTGTCCATGCAGATGACTGATTGGTGGGACAAATCACAAGACTGCAAAGCCTGACGCAAACCCAGACACTCTCAACCGGACTCTCAATTTTCTCTCAATCATCTTTTGTTATTTCACACAAAGCTTTAATTATTACACATTCTGCTTTGTTTTTGAGTGTTAAACTTTTAATACATAATAACTAGTTTGATTGTTGCTCATTTGGTCATTAATATGTGAGCTTTTCGAGAAATACTGAAAGATGCAAGTTGAGAGGTTTTTTTCTGAGTTTGTCTCAGGCTCAGCTATTACGCTCCAACATTTCTTCAACATGATTTAACACAACCACAAAACACAGAACACACACACACACACACACACACATATACAGTGCTTCAAGGCTGTGGAGAGATGGAAAAATTACAGCTCCCTCCCCCAATTGTGGGATCAGGAGAAGAGGGCAAGGGGGTGAGGAAGACACGAGGACGGATGGATTGGCGAATAAAAGACAACAAAATAAAACATGATGATGTTGAGACAACAAAGTGCTATAAACACATGCTCTTTTTGGGGTCAAACCCCGGTGACAAATCCCGACATGTCCTGGTGAAAAGGGATTTTTGAATCATCCGTGCTCAGTGTTGTTGACAATGACTCGACAGGTGGTGCTCAAACAGTGACGCGGCTCTTACACCGGTGATGGTGGCGATTGGTGCGACAGAGTTCCATGCAAATCAACTGACATGGAGATGAAAGCATTCACGTTTGAAAAAAAGTGCCGCTTCTGCCGTTTGCTGTCTGGTTTTCGCTGGTTAGGAGAACTGAATGATCTAATTTCACAATATCCATCATTCGTCAGTAATGTCTTTTCTTTTGTTTGCATAGATAACGTTTTGTACTGCAAATTCAGTACAGGGTTGTTATGGTTTTGTATGTTTTGTATACATTATAAAAAGCGTATTGTACTTTTTCATTTGCATTTTAAACCCATAATAAAAAGCTACTTTCTGGGGTTGAAACTTCCTCGCAATAGGTAAACATTAACAGTGAACTTTTGCCTTTAAGTTACATTATACAATGCTATTAAAGTCAGAGTTGATCAGAAAACCAGGCAGCAATTACTGGCAGAACACGTGGTGACAAATACTACATCCAAAGGCTTTACCTCCTCTTCCTGGTGGCCCAGGGGGTCCTTGGAGTCCTTTGGGACCCTGCAGCACCTGTCCTGGAGGCCCAGCAGGACCGGGGTTGCCTGAAGGACCAGGAGATCCGGGGTAACCAGCCTCTCCTTTGGATCCTGGGAAACCGGGGTTGCCAGATGGGCCGGGAAGACCTGGGTCTCCCTTTGAACCTTAATGAGAGATAAATTGGAGATTGTTATATCAGTGCAGAACCAATAATCCCAACACGCAAACTGCTACATAAAGAGGATGTTTGCTCACCTGGCAACCCTGGAAGACCTGAAGCACCGGGTCCACCATAACCAGGAAGCCCTGGAGTAAACATGAATCAGAAGTGAGTCTTATCGAAACTAAACTAAATGGCAAATATGACTTTACAGTTAAGTATTTTTCCCGAACACGTTGACCAGTGACTTACCTGGGTCTCCTTTGATTCCAGCCGGTCCTGGGATCCCGTCCCGACCTGCCTGGCCCTTGTCTCCTGGAAACCCTGGTCCTCCTGGTCGGCCAGATTCTCCTGGTCTACCGGGAGCTCCAGTGAGACCTGGGCCACCGGGCCCACCGTCGAGACCCTTCGGACCAGGGTTACCCGGAGAACCTGACAGTAGAGCAGAAGGACTTTGTTTTAGCTAGCAGACTCTTACCATCTGGCACTATTATTTCATAGTGTTAATAGAAAACATCACCCATGTGGACTGCTGTAGTCAAACCTCAGACTTACCTTGGAATCCTGGGAGTCCGAGGTCACCTTTGGGACCTGGGCCTCCTGGTATACCTGGGAGACCGGGTGATCCTGGTGTTCCTTTAAGTCCTGAACTTCCTGGGAACCCTGGCTGACCTGGTTCACCCTATGAGAGACATTAAAACATATATGAGGTGTGAACCTAAAATTTGCAGTTTTAGGACATTTCAGTGGTTGAGTCCAGTACCTTATGTCCAGATAGTCCAGGTGGTCCGATTCCAGCAGAGCCTGGTTCACCTTTGGCTCCAGGGAAACCAGGTCCTCCTGGCTGTCCTGGGGATCCAGACCTACCTGACTGACCTGGTAGACCCTTCTGCCCTGATGGTCCTGTGGCATCATAAAAGTGTGACATCAGCGTTTATGGCAAAGAAATCACGTGTTGGAAGACATTTGGGAACAGCTTTCAGTAGGTTGCCGGGAACCAACTATGAGTTCAAACCCACCTGGGAAACCCATTTCTCCCATGCCGCCTTTTGATCCTGGACCTCCAGGACTACCTGGGCCTCCTGAACTGCCAGGATCTCCCTTGGGACCTGCAGCACAGTGGAAAAGGCACATTAGGAATCGATTTGCATGAGTTTGTGTGTATAGATGTATGCATGTGAGTGTGTGTGTTGGGAGGTAAACACACACCTGGTGGTCCAGGAAGTCCAGGACGTCCATCAGATCCTGACAGCCCGGGGTCACCGGAGAGACCAGGGATGCCTTTCTGACCTGAAAAACCTGGTCCACCTGTAGAACAAATGCAAAAATATAACAGTGAGTAGTAATTAAATATATGTTGCCTACTTTTAAAATGTGTTATATTTGGTCTTCAGCGAAGGTGTTTTAAGCCGTACCTGGTAGTCCAGGTTCTCCTTTGGTTCCTTTTGTAACCGATGATGGCTGGCTGCTTCCTGGGGGTCCCTGGAGGCCAGACTCACCTTTGTCTCCTTTGAAACCGGGACCGCCAGGATTGCCGTCTCTGCCCGGGAATCCAAGTTCACCTGGAGAGGAGAGAACGTGAGAATCAGAGAAGTTTAGCGGTGGTCAGCGAGGTCCTTTGTTTCTTTTTCTCTTTAAAAGCTTTCAAGTTTCTTTTTTTGTGTGTGTGATGAATGTTCTTTAGGTCTGTATGTAGTTACGAGTGAACACCTTTGAGTCCAGAAGCGCCGGGCCCTCCTGGGCCTCCTGGTCCTCCAGGAGGTCCTGGGGATCCCATGGAACCCGTGTCTCCTTTCTGACCTGCAGCCAGACGTCAGAGCAGAAAATGAAAATACTCAATAACAGAGTCCCTCATTCTCTCAGCTACAGCAAGGCGGTCATCTAGTCAGATTCATAATCCACTTTGTTGGTCAAGTATGTGTGCATTTGACTCAGGTCTTTGCTTCTTTCTTAATAATAGCTGTAAATATAAATATTAGACAAATGTATATAAAAAGCACAAATGACCTGACAATAAAATAATAAATCACACGTCTATATACAGGTTACTGATGTGAGCATTAGTTCTTACCTGGCAGTCCAGGCAGGCCATCCCGTCCAGGTCCTCCAAGAGATCCTGGCGCTCCGGCTGATCCAGGGGAACCTGGGAAACCGGGACTTCCTCTGTCTCCTGGCAGACCTGGGATGTCTAGACCTGGAGGGCCGGGGTCTCCCTTCCCTCCGTTTGATCCGGGAAATCCTGTATCGATGATATCAAGATTTCAGGGCCCGGATAAAAAAACATACAAAAAATACAATACAAGATGAAAACAAAACAAATCGCTTTTTTGCAAACAAAATCTGTTGAGCCGAATAATATCTGTATTAGATCTTTTTTTTAAATTTTGAGAACAGCTTATGCAGGAGAATACAGCCTTATGTATCTGACCTGGTGGTCCCATTGGGCCAGGGGGTCCAGGTGGTCCTGGCTGCCCCAGTGAGCCGCTGGAAGCGGATCCAGGTGGGCCACGAGCTCCGGGTATACCAGGTGTACCGGAATCACCTGGACGGAGACGGATGAGAAAGTCATTGTCGGGTTAGGTGTTCCGTTGGCTCTCATGAGTTTTGGGTGGACAGTGAGCATGCATAGTAACCAAACTGCAGAACACCTTTAGATCCCGGAGATCCATCAAATCCAGATCGTCCAGGTGAACCGGGGCTGCCAGGGAAGCCAGAGTCTCCTTTTGGTCCAAAGAAACCTTTAGATCCATGTACTCCTGGTAAACCTGGAGGGCCAGGAAGGCCAAAGCCAGGCTCACCCTGTCACACACAAACACACAGAGGGCAGCCAACATTTAAATAATGGGGACACAGCATGAAGGTAAAGATCTTTTTAAAGTGTACTTTTCTGCTGGTCAGGTCTGCTTTTTGCGTCATGGATTTGTAGTTATTCTATTTAGTATTTACCTTTTTGATGTGAATTTCCTATTGTTATAAATAAAGCATTTTATCCGTCCATTTGTCTACATACCTTGGATCCAGGAAATCCAGGCTGGCCAGGGAGTCCATCGACTCCCGGTCTACCTGGTCCTGCAGGAGATCCTGGCTGGCCGTTGATACCTGGGAATCCTGGAGGAGAGAAAAAAGAAAGGGGGGGGGGGGGGGGAGGTAAAAAGAGAAATTATGAGGACAAAAAAGCATGAGGAGGAGGCATAAGACGTACTGAGAAGAGGATGTGAAGGTCAGGAGAAGTGGAGGGAAGAGGAAGAAGTAGGAGTGTTCATTGTTGTCTTTACCTTTGACTCCTGGGGGTCCTGGGAGTCCGATGCCGGGGAGTCCAGGATCCCCCTTCATTCCTGGTAAACCAGGGAAACCATTCTGTCCGGGCTGACCCGGGCTACCTGCCAATCAGAGAACAGAAACATGTGTCACCTCCGTTACCCGGAAGTGAACGATGCACGAAGACAGAACGCATAAAATAACAACTGCGCACCTGGTAAGCCGGGCAGTCCTGGTGAGCCGTCCAGTCCTCGGGTTCCTGGTAAGCCTTTCTCAGCCACCGCCAGGCCCGGTTCTCCTTTCCCACCTGCATGGCAAAAAGAAATGTTATCCTTTTACTTTGTTATAGTCATCTATTGTGGTGATGAGCATACAAACACACAATTCAAATGAAAAAGAAATAAAAGATGGAGGAGAAATACTTGCATTGGATGTGAACCCAGAAGTTTTTTATTCGGATCGTCGCTAAATAATTGTGAAATTGTCTTCTTACCGGGTGCACCGGGACCTCCGGGTCTTCCTGAGACGCCCTGGACGCCTTTCTCTCCTGAGGATCCCTGAGGTCCAAAACCAGGGCCTCCTGGAGGACCCCTGTCTCCCGGTATACCTGGGGAGCCTGGCTCACCGGGGGTTCCTCGTTCTCCTTTCACCAGCAGAGAGCCCTGTTGGACACATATGAATTATGAAACGGATCGCGGATGGACACATCAATCTGAATGATGCAGTGAAAGCCACCTACGGGTGTTCCTTTGGCTCCGGGACTTCCTGGCTGACCGTCGCGACCGGGTCGACCGTCCAGACCGGGAAGACCGGGTGATCCGGGGAAACCGCTGTCGCCCTTCTCTCCCCTCACGCCGCTGACTGAGATGGCATCGCCTGGGTCTCCCTTCTCTCCAGGGAATCCTGGAGAACCTTGAGGACCGGAGGAACCCTGGAAAGTAAAAAGAAAGAGGCCAAAGAAGAAAATGTTTTAGTTTATTATGTCATAAGAGTTTAATCAAACTCTGACTCGTGGCCAGGCACGTAAGAGAACTGACGTCATGAAAGTATATAATATATGTAATATAAGCTTTATATTATACCAGTCACTAATGTGAGACAGTAACTAAAGACATTAAGACCTTCATTTAAAGCTCAAAGAATATCTTAAGAGTAGAGTATTCATTCCCCAATGAACAAGTCGATGTCACAGATATCAGTTGTAAGATGATATTTGCCGCTATAGGAAAAGTAAAAAGTACTAACAGGGGGTCCAACGGCACCAGGTGTTCCTGGATATCCTCGGTCTCCTTTGATACCATTGATGCCAGGAGATCCTGATGGCGGACAGGGAAGAGGAAACTTGGTACTACCTTCCAAAGAATTCTGCATAAAGCTCTGTCAGATGGGAATGTGTTGTGGGGCCTTACCAGGGAATCCGGGCTGTCCTGCAGGTCCTGGTGGTCCGGGGATGCCGGTGGTATCGCCGAAGCAGTTCACACAGGTGTTGCCCTTTTCACCTAAAAGAACAAGAGACACGAAGGGTGAAGATTGAATCCACTTTTTTATCTTTTCTTTCATTATCTTATGAGATCTTAGGTTTAAGACCTGACACAAATTGTATTAACATAAGTTATGTTTACTTTTCTGTTTCATTTCTTGCACAGATTTTTTTTTGCGGATGAATACCAGCATCTCTATATTGGCTGACCTTTCTGGCCAGACCCTCCTGAGAAGCCTCTCTCTCCCTGCAGGCCGGGACGCCCGGGCTCTCCAGTGACGCAGTTTTGTCTTGACGTGGAAAAGCCTGGAGGTCCGGGGAGCCCCGGTTGGCCCTGGGAACCAGGAGAGCCCTCACGTCCCGGCTGACCTGGCAAAGACAGCCCTGGGGGGCCGAAGTCTCCCTTCTGCCCTCTCTCTCCTGGGAAGCCTGGAGATCCGGACTGACCGCCACCACCGGTAGCTGGAAGTCCTGGTGCACCTGGAGGTCCTGATAAACCTGAAGAGGACAGGACCGAGACCAAATGAAACAGTTATTTATCTATTTGTTTAGAGCTACAACCCACATTGACTTTCATTATTCATTAATTTGCCGGTTATTTTCTATTGGTATTAACATAATTGAGTTATCTCATTTAACTCAATTAAAGATCAGTGGGCAGAGCCACAGGATCACTAACCATTACCATTAGCTAGCTCGTTAGCATATCATTAGATAGCTCCTTTGCATATCATTAACTTCATAAATAGCAACACAAGCTTACAGCTCTCTGGTTAAGCCAACTAGCATTTTACTCTTCCAAGAAAAAATGGCATGGTCACCAATTAATGAAGAAGTTATACGCATTTGACATCCTGTTTGGAGTTACTCGCTTCTTCTTGCGTCCGCTCTTTAGCTGGCATTCTGAGCGTTATTGAAACAGCCTTTGAACTCCGTGTTTTATCATATATTTGAATGTTCTGTGTCTGTGCGAGCGAGTTTTACCTGATGGTCCTCTGTCTCCTTTCATTCCAGGTGATCCGGGGTAGCCTCTGTCACCTCTAGGGCCGACCAGACCTCCCGACGAAGGACCGAGCACCTGGTGGGACGATGAGACATAAAACATATTCAGAAGAAACGCAACACACTCACTCACAGTCATTTCATCTTTCAGCCAAGAAATCATGTATTTATTTTATCAAGATTTTTTTATTTTTATAAATGAAGTTGGAATAAAGAGTATTAGAATGCAATATTAATATTTTAATATATAAGAAAACATTCTAATTAAATCAAAGTAAGAAAGAGGGACATGTCACCACCTAGTGGTCATTTTTCCACTTTTCTTTGGGCTCAATTTCCAGTTACACGGTTTGTTCATTATTGGATGCAATACACACCTGATGCTGGTATTGTTTTTTATTTTATTTACCAATTTTTTTATTTTTGTTTTATTAATAGATAATATAACACACAAGCTGGACAGAGAGATATGTCCCCATCTAGTGGTCAGAAAGATGTAGTGCACCAAGAAGCCATTTTCACAATTAGAAAAGGGAGTATTTTCTCTGTATTTCTTTTTTTAATTTTTAATTTAATGGAGCTACCGCTACAGCCACAGTCTTCTATTTCAACTGCCTTGCTCAAAAGTACGTGTAAAGCACCCGTCATACAGTTTCCCTAGTCATGGAACATCTCAAAGGCAACTTTGCAAACTATCTGCTAATGACGACCTGCTGATAGTGCCAGGAACAAAAAACCTACGAGCAAATCTTGAGTTCAGATTGACTTGTTAAATGAGAAAAATGTAGAATACACACCACCCCTGGTGGGCCTGGGTATCCACGATCACCTTTTAGTCCCTAGAAAACAAAAAGAGACAGACAGGGGGAAGTTATCAAAACAATCCATGACATCACCTTATGAACATAGTTTAAAAAGTAGTAGAAAACTCACTCTCTCTCCATCTCTGCCTGCAGGACCTGGCAGGCCTGACTCTCCTTTGGATCCCTGATAGTGACAAAGTTTGACATGCGAATAAGAGACAAGAAAGACAAAAGAAGTGTATAGCGTTGTGTAGTTTGGAGGCAGCACTCACGGGGAAGCCTGAAGAACCGGGGTCTCCATCTTTGCCTGGTTTGCCCTGCAGATAGAAGAACAATTGGGATCAGGGTTTACGGTCTAGGCAAACGGTCCTGTGCCTCTATCATCAAGTACTTTGAAGCACACTGAGGCCTTGAGAACTAAGTGTAGCTGTGGGAAAGGGTTAAGGTTTGTGTGATCTGTACTTACTCGTTTTCCTGCTTCACCTAGTTCTCCCTTGTCTCCTTTCTGGCCACCTGAGGGACCCTAAAAAAAACAAACAGCATCAAGTTTTCCTCCGTTTCAACATTTCCAGAATGCGGAGCACTTATTGCCTAAAGGGATGGATAACTAATGATGCTTGTAGGTGGAAATAGATACTTACAGGGGGGCCTGGATATCCTTGTTCACCCGGGAGACCAGTAAAACCTGGGTCACCCTGCAGAGAAAGAGTTCAAAGTTTCAACCAAACTGTTTGATTCAGTGAAAAAAAGCCCTTAAATGATGTTTCACTGGTCGTTAACACACATGCACTGGTTGTTAATGCACCAGATCTAGAAAACAGCATCCTAACGGACAGTTCCTGTGCTGTTTCATTTAACGCCTTCATGCATTATCCAATACTCACAACAGTGGAAATATCAGCAAAACAAAGTGGAACAAAATCTAAAAGAGGGCGCAGGAATTATGCGTCACCTTCTAGTGGCTGAAGTGAAAGTTGCAGCATCCAGCAGTTTATACAGAACTAAGAAAACCTATGAAAACATTGATGCATTTGTATAAATATTTCTTTATTTATTGTTTTGGCCTTAACGCTGACGGAAACATGATTTGCATGTTACATTTCTTCACATATTCTAACATAAATGATGTTAATTTGGGCTTTAGTCAGCCTATTTGAAGTACGTTTTGTCACTTTGCAGCTATTTAACTTTTCTTTGTTGTCAGATCCAGACGAGCTCTGCTGCAGCTTAACAACTGAGCCAAAGCTACGCCTGCTTTTGTGTATTTATTGCGTGCACTCTCAGTGCTGATCTGTATTACCTTGTCTCCTCTCTGAATCTCCGTCTCAGGTGGTCTCTTCTGTTCTCCAACTTGCCCTGGAGGACCAGGAGGTCCTGCCAGACCTATTTCACCCTGTGGTCACACAAACACACCAGATGAGATTAAGGGTTACATTTTAAGCTTCCTACTAACTTTGACTCTGGTAACACAAGTGAATACCTTCTCTCCTTTGGGCCCTTGGAAGTTCAATCCCATGTTTCCCTGTTGAGAAAGCAGGAAAACAACAAGCTCTCAGTATCACAATATCATCAAGATGAGAGAATGACCAAGAGGATTCATTTAGAGCAAATGCATGATCATGATGACTCTGCCTCTGATTGACACTAGGTTGGATTTATTTATAATTACTTTGTGTTTCTTGGTGCCTATGATTGTTTGCTTATTATGTTTTTACTCTGATATTTCATAAATGAGGTCTCTACCTCCACGTATTTCCAAGTTAAAATAAAGGCCGAATTAGTGAATGAATGACTCGTTGCCTTCGTCGCAGAAGGAGTTTATTGCTGGTGAACAAGATTTAAATTGTGTGATGTGGTGTCACAATTAAATGTAATGTTAACCTCAATGTTGATGTAACACACTGATTAACAATCCCTGTTTCAAAATCCGTTTTGAACTCACCTTTGGTCCGGGACTACCTGGAGGACCTGGACGACCCTGGAAAACAAGCCCAGAAAACAATGCTGTTGGACTACTGTTTACTTCCACAAACTTTAAGTGTTCAACTGGTCATTACACTGCATGTGAAATACAAAGATGTAGAGGTTGATGTGGATGTTTTTACCTCGTAGCCCCTGGGTCCTGGAGGACCAAGTGGACCCTGCAAACCGCCGGGTCCGGAAGTTCCCTGTGACATGAACACACACAGAAAAACTGTTGTTTAGACATACTTTAAAAATGAGTCTTTATTTGAAGGCTCAAGATACTAAAGTACATACTATTTTTGTAGTATTTCAGCATATAAATCATCAAATGTAATGAATAAGTGTCTATCTACATACATAACCCCTTAACAGACATGTCTTCCCTCTTATTTGGCTTAAAAGTTGTTTTTTTGACTCAGCTATTCTGTGTGAGCTTGTTCCAGCTCTTCGTTGAAGCTACATGATGTTTGGATATCCACTTTGGACAAAGTTTGGCTGCACAGTATCAGTTTTTAAGAGGTTAAAAAACACCCAAAAAAAACTCACAGGAATTCCTGGTAATCCGGGCAATCCCACTGCTCCTTTCTCTCCAAAGCGATTGGTGGAGATCACGTCACCTGGGTCACCCTGTAGGGAGTCATATAAACATTTAACCAAATCCCAAACCTCGAGGAGCTATGATTCTGTGTGGCAATAAAAATGATTAAGGTGAGAGTTACCTTTTGTCCTGGCAGACCAGGTGGACCCTGGAAAGGAGAGAAGGAAAATTAATCGTTTTATAGTCTGATAACAAACAAACTTTCTCTTCAATGCTGCAAACTCACCGATCGCCCTTGCTGTCCGGGAATTCCTGAATTTCCTGGGAAACCTATGTCACCCTTGAGAGAGGAGGAACACATTTAACACACAGCCCATAGATTATATATTATATATATATATATATATATATATATGATCTATTTTGTCAAAGCCCATAAAAGGGTGCGTTCATGGCATTGCAGAGGCTTTTCCAGTATGAGAATAACACAAATCCAGCATAAATCACTCATAATGTAAATAATGAAATCTGGTACAAATGTTCCGCTCATTTTTGCAGAACTCCTGTCTTTTCATAATGTATTTAATTTACTGTCATTTGTTCCAAATGCCTTCATCATCAGATACCTTTGTCCCATTGCAACCTGGCACTCCTCTCGGGCCTGAAGGTCCGTCCTGCCCGGGCAGACCCTGAGGAAACAGGAAGTAAACAGGAAGTTACACAACACGTGCTACCTGGTTGTTGTTGTTTTTTGGCAAACTAGTGTATGAAAGATTTCAGTAGGATTTTAGAAAGGGGGGTAAGTAACCCATTAAAAAAAAAAGTCATTTATTTGTGTGTGCATGTTCTTTATTGTCATAATTTTAAAAAATCAGTTAATTTACTTTTACTTTGGTAGTTTTTAATGATAAACCGTGTGCGAATGGAACTAAATAATATATAAAACATAGATGGACATAATAAATAATGATGCATTAGGTTCTCACTATTGTACCTCGTAATAGTTAAAACAAAGGTTGCATCTACCTTAAATAATTAGTAGTTTAAGGGTCCACCCGGTTGGGCACGCAAAGGGACCCAAATCAAACACACCCAACAGGTGCATGCTATGGCTAACATGCTAACATGCTAATGGTGGATCCTCCAAAGGTGGACTGAGCAGGACTGAGCAGGACTAAGGAGGACTGAGCAGGACTAAGGAGGACTGAGGAGGACTGAGCAGGACTGGGGAGGACTGAGGAGGACTGAGCAGGACTGAGGAGGACTGAGGAGGACTCCCAGCATCACCTTCAGACAGGTCAGGACAACGTCTCTGCAGCATGGTGTGAGCGTGCACTAGAGGTTGTGGAAAAACTGTGCAGCTCTTATTTTTGCTGCAAATATGTGCGTCTGCTTGTGGCTGCAGCTTCTGTGGAGTTTTTTAATAAATGACCGTTAATGAAAGCCTTTAAATTAGCTTGTAAAATGCTTATGCTTATGCTTATGCTTATCTAAGAGTGCAGACAAGGGACTGTTATGGTTACAAAATACAGTTTAAACTATTTTAAACATTTGTGAGTTTACATGACAGGCTTAGATATGTGTCTGCTAGCGGTTAGCATAAGTGATTCACAGGCTAATTGGAAGGGTAAAATCAATAAACTCCGGGTAAATGTTATAGTATCGTAGAACCAGCCCAGTAATTCATCTTTTTTTTTGTTTGAGTTATTCATGTGACCTATTTTCTGTGTTTTGTGTTTTTAAAAAACGTGTATGAAATATGAATACTGTGGTAGACAGGCAGCACGTGTGTGTCCTAATCAATAAAGAGTGATGTCATCATCCTATCCCTTTTAATAATCCAACGTTTACTCATAGCATAGTTTCACTGACCTTCATTTTACTTTTTACACAAGTAATTTAACTTACTAGTAAAATGCTAAACAATACTTCTAAATAATATTAGTTCCGCCTTCTGAGTTTTAGATGATTTGGGAAAACTTACAGGAAGTCCTGGTGTTCCTGGGAATCCTGGCAATCCAGACGGCCCCTGTTAGAAATAAAATACAGATAAAAATGTTAAATATAAAAGCTGCAGAAGAGAAAGAGCTTCTAGTTTCTTCATGAGCTCAGTGACTCTGATAACGATGAGGTGAAATGTGGACATCTGCTGGTCAGGAGAGCTTATTACAACTTTATTCTCATCGTGACTCAACCAACCAAACTGAAATAAAACTTCCTTTTTTACACTTTTTTAGGCTTTGTCTCTTAAGTGAAGTGTAAACTGTTGCTGCAAGAGAAGAGACAGCAAAAAATGAATAATAATGTACTTACTCTGATTCCTTTTGGACCATATTGTCCTGAAGTTCCATCACTACCCTGAGAGGAAAAACAGACAATACACAGGATTAGATGAATAATATCTTCACTGATTTGTGTCCATTTTAACGGGGATATAAAACTAATCTGCACTGAACGTTTGCACCAAAACACTTCCATCAGATTCTCAGTTTTGTTTACTTATTCTCTTGTTCAGAATTTAGTTAACTTACGCTAGAAATGCCAGACTGGAAGCGAGGTTTCTCTTCTCAACCTTCCCGACTCTTCCCTCACGTGTTCCAATTAAAAACCTAAATTGACCCTAAAAACCCACCTTCTCTCCTCTGCCGCCGATCGGCCCCTCAGGTCCGGGGAATCCTGGGACTCCTGGCTGTCCGGTGAGACCTGGGAAACCACGCTCACCCTGCAGACAGCAATGCAGATACAGTTAACATACATTACCCCCCCCCTCCCAACAAAAGTATACATTTTTTATATTGTGCGTCTTTTTGCTTACCTTGGTTCCTTTTACTCCGCTGCAGTCACATTTAGATCCCACGCAGCCATGGCAGGCCTGTTGAACGACAAGAAGAAATATTTATTTAACTTACATTCTCATTTTCATAATTTAAATCAATAAATAAAAGGCAACAAAAACACCATATGACAATACCATAGACAAATAATCATAAAAATCTCCTGCAGCATCCTGAGAACACTGACATTATGATCTTTGTTTGCATGTTTTCACTTGATGGTGAATTCTCTTTATATAATATGATAATATTACGCACATCTATAAGTGAAAGTGGGTATTTTCATGCTGAAATCCACTAGAGTGCGCTCCATCGTCACGCTGCATGCTCCAGTATTTCTTCCCACAGAGGAGGAGAAAGGTTGTTTAAGAGATGCAAGGTCAGCGAGGACCGAAACGACACGCTAACCTCAAATAAATAGCCGTTATCTAGAATAAAACAAATTTAAGAAATTCTTCAGTTTTCTCAGCAGGAAATGCTTTTTTGTTGTGGAGAAGAGGGTGAAAGGAAAGAGATGGGAGGGATGGGAATGGGAGTGCCAAGCTGTTGATGAACTTTTCCCATGCCTGTTGACACAGCGAATGCCAGACGGGCATCGATTGCACGCATGCCAGGCAGCCGGGTTGTGAGAAAGACGGACGGGTTAGTCGAGTCAGCATTCTTCTGTGTCCATGTTTGTGTTCATGGCTTTCATGAGGAGACCCACGGGAGATTTTAGTCGTTGTCCTGCTGCAGCACATTTTGCAGAGTTTCTTCTTTTAACATAATATCTACAGTTCACCTTTGAGTCTTAGCATACATTCAAATTATAAGAAATGTCCTTGAGGTTCCGCCTTCAAACATCTTATTTTTAGAGACCAACGGTCCAAAACCCAAATATACTGAGTATGCAGCGACATAAAACAGCAGATCCTCTCAGTTGAGAAGCTGAAATGTTTGTGTCTGTTGATCAACTAAAGCGTGACCTAATGGGTCGGACTGAACACGGTGACATCGGAGGCTCATACCGGCCGTCTCAGCTCAGTGATTCCCACAGTGAGCTCACCGGACGGAGGTTATTTGTTTTGTGACAACATCCTGACTCCCAAAACAGCGTTACCTCATAGGCAGCGAGTTTAAAACAACCAACGTCTCATGTGAAGTCGAGCCAGCTGCTGAACAACCAGCTCGGCCTCTTGTTATGCTCTTCGTCCAAACGTCTCATGTTGTATGTAGGGTGTAAGTTGACGGCTATTTTCTTTATTATTTTATTGTAATCGTATGAGACAAAGAAAAGCTTTTTTCTGTCGTGCAGATCTGTGTGTATGCAGTGGCGTCCTCCTGCAACACTCGGAGGCTAAAGCAAGGCACTGTTCACAGCCTGGGGTTGAGGGTTTGATTCCCACCGTGGCCTTCTATGCCATAAAGGAGTTTTTTTTTCGGGGGAGATTAAAAGATGCACAGAATGTCGCATGTTGGTGGTAAACACAAAATGTGAACCGTTATCTGGACTGGAGGGTAGAGAGGTTACCAACACACACACACACACACACACACACACACACATACATACTTGCCTGAATACATTTTAACATGGGTAGCCGGCCGTGTGTGTGTGTGTGTAGGTGTTTTTACAAGCCCTGAATCTCCAGATTAGTGTCTGGTCTGCTACAGCTCAATGCAGTCTGCTCTCCCACGCCCAGGCCTGCAGCTCGCACTCTCTTCACCTCCATCCCTCTCTCTCTCTCTCTCTCTATCTCTTCATCCATCGTCCATCGTAATTTTTATAGTAGCTGAACGTTTTTTGTAACCAGTGTCGCATGAAAGCATGGTGGAATTAGCACGCTAGCTAACTAGCCAGCCTCAATGAGAACAAATTATCAGGTAAATGCGTCGTACAAACACTCTTGTCACAGCGTAGGAAAGAACATTATATCGCCGGATAAGTGACGACTTTGTTCAGATCATTTTCTGTAACCGGTGCAGCGTGAAAGCATGGTGGAATTAAAGCGAGCTAAGAAGCCAGCCATCCGCTAGTTAGCTTGCTAATTCCACTGTGCTTTCATGCTACAGGGATTACAGAACATCACTCTCCCCACCATGGTGTTACTACTTACATTAGTAAAAGATCTGAATACTTCTTGCATATTATTACATCATTCATCTATTTTATGACCTCATGAGTCTACTGTAAGGACAGTGAAGGTAGTTTGTGGCATGTTTACGTGATCTCACAGTGCGTTTTGTTTCGTTCCCATACGGCTAAGGTGTTGCTCTGTGTTTGATTTACTGCGAATCAGTTTCCCTTTGGGGTGAAATGAACTGATAAAGCTGCCTAAATACAGCGTTAAAAGCATCTCTGTCTCCCCCTCTCCATGCTGCTCCCTCTCTCTACCCTCTCATTTACCCCCCAGGCACTGACGGGGCATGTAATCCACTTAGAGAGGTCAGTGAGCTGCAGATATTTGCTCCACTCCCTCTGTCTCTCTGTCTTTTAGCTCTCTCTATCATTTCCCGACACTCTCCCCTAACCGCTGTCCCACTTTATCCCATCACGCCAGCCCCAGCGATCGGGCCCTGAGGGGAGGTAAACTCTGGTTTGGCTCCGTGTAGGACAGGTAGTAACAGTCGGAGTCGTGCCCACACAGGTGAAGCTCTCGCTCTGAGGGGTGGAGGCCCAACGTGCACAATCTGAGGTCAAGGTGAGGCAGTTGATGAGCAACAAGTAGCCGGACTTTATGTCCACATGTAGTTGATTTTATGGCCTTAAGAAGTACGCAGACCCTTTACTTCAGTACAGTAGAACCAATGGAGGTACCCACCCACCAAATAGATGTCTATATAATGTCTTTATATTATTTGCAGCTGTAAGATATGAATTAGTGACAAATTTAGCAACGATGAATCATTCAGGATCGATACAGTAGGGACGCACGGCGTTACATGATGCAAGACATTCATCAAAAAGGAGCTCATCAATTATTTTGATACTTCTGTACTAAGTCAGACGCAGGACCTTTACTTGTATTTCTGTGGTATTGCTACTCTTACTTGAATAAAATATCAGACTACTTCTTCCACTGCTGGCTACAAGCCACGAACAAAATGCAGATAAAGGCGTAGGATTATCCCAGGGGTGGATTTCTGTACATAAAACAAACGTGCATTAAAACGCGAGTAGGAGATATACAGTAGGTGTGTTCAGATTGATGGAGGGGTGAGGGAGGGGGGGCAGGAGGGAGGGGAGGGGGGAGGAGGGGGAGGGGAAGGCATGTACCCGGGGATTAGACCGGCGAGACTGGAATTCCCCCGCTCATCAAAGACTGATGATTAGACACCTACACTGCCCTGCCCTGAATAACACACACACACACACTCACATATGCATCCATGCAGCATACACACTAATGTAAATAGACAAATACTCTCATAAACAGTACACACAGCTGCAAAGACACGAAGTGTATTTCCATTATCAATACACACAAACTTACTGAAACCATATCAATTCAACCGCATCTATTAACTTCTGCTTTTCAACACTAGAGCCCACATGTTTACACACACACACACACACACACACACACACACACACACATAATGGAAATATTTGCCAATACAATCTAGTTGGTTCTACTGTGTGTGAGATTCATGGTGGGAATATCTGTAATTTCTTTGTCATATTTCCAATATTCTGCTTAAAGGACCAGTCCGTAGTATTTCTGACTGTATATTTACACGCATAGGACATTAATGAGTCTCATATCAGACTATATAATCCAGTTTATACACTTTCTAAACCTGCTTATGATCCATGCACCTCCATCCATTTAAAATCCATCAGAATGTGATTTGATCCGTCGTGAGTTTCCTGCTCTAGATATGAGAGTTGGTCGGCCATAAAACATAAAACGCTGCCGTGCACTTCCACTTTGTGCTGCAACTGCTGCTCAACACTTTCTTCTTCTAACTTTTCACTTTGTCTTTTCTGTTGGCTTTAAGCTTCAAAAATGAAATCAGATTTTATGCGTTACTGCTGAAAATGAGGATTGCGTTGGTGCACTGGTATCGTTTCATGGCTCAGCACCTGTGTGTGTGTGTGTGTGTGTGTGTGTTCATCCTTGTTCTGGAGACTGGCCCTCCAGGCTCCGAGCCGCCGCCCCTCAAACCGTTGATCCCTTTTCATCGCCGCTGGACTTTGACTGCTTCAAGGTGCAGACGCCACGAGGGCGACGACCAAAACAAATATTTTCACTTTGACTAAAAAAAAAATTTAAAGAAATCGGAGCGTGTGTTTTGACTAACAGGCTCTTTAGAAGAGGAAGACCCCCGACTGTCTCACACACACACACACACACACACTCACACACACACCGTCGTGCCACAGTGCCGGTCCAGGAATTCCATTGATATTCCCGGGAATTCTCTTTCTTCTGAGCGCAGTTTTCTCCCCCCTCTACTCTTCTTGTTTGGTGTAATGAATGTTGACCCCCCCCTCTGACCTCCCACTGAGAGATACCTGCAGGGAGAGCACTTAAGCATCTTGAGGCACCAGACCTAGTTCCTTTCACGAGCAATTTGAGGCTACAGCCACACGAGTGCATTGTGGTTTTAAAACGCATAACTTGTGCCGGGTTCACACCTCGTTTACACACTACGCCGACGTCTTAGAGCCCCTTAAACTGAGACGTTTGAATACGCTGCTGCAACATAGTTTTGCGTTTCTTTCTGCTTCTTGTGTAATCCACAAACACACACTTTCTATGGAGAGTTTAGACTTTCCAGAACTAAAGAGGGAATGGTAAACACACACACACACACACGCACTATAAACTATACTACAAATCTCTGACTGAGCCGTCAGTTGTCGGGGTTGCATTGTGGGTAATGTAGGCACCAGGTTTGGACAAGAAAGAAGGATGCATGATTAAAAAAAGTCCATAGTTGTGCTGCATTGATTTATTTCATCCTCTTCTTTCAAACCGTCCACTGTGACGGTGCTGTGGGAGTGAGATGCAGATGTAGAAATGCAGAAAAATGTATCTGAAGATTAACTTGA